TTGACGAATAGTATGAGACAGTGCTATATTGTGCTTCATTGTCATTCAGTAGGGGACGTTTTCAAATTTTTACCATGTACCATGCAGTTTAGACTTCTGCAACGAAATGTGCCTTATTTAACATTTTATCTTTTTGCATATTTTCTCAAAATGAAAATAGGAAATAAAGGACCTAAGGAAAGTCCTGAAGAAATGTAATAGTAAGGTTCATGTTGTAATTTAATTTTAAATAAAACAGTTAATGTGTACAGTGATTTGGTTATTTTATATAGATGTCCTGCTTTATTTTTTCTCTAGGATTCAGAATTTCCCACAGATATACAACCAAATCCAAATCTTTGTTTATGTAAAGAAAATATTGGTCCAGCAAAATTTGACTACAAGCTGAATAACATATTTCGACTTCATGAACTTCCAGTGAGCTGGTAGGATTCTTGATGTTTTATTAACTCCTTTAAGATTTTATTGTCATGTCTAAATTGTGGTGCTCTTACAGCTTTTCGTGGTCAAAGCAGTCTGCTTTTAGCTTGTTTCCAAATTGCTGCTCATAACAGTGAAAGAACCTGCTTATTACTGCAAGAATCTTAAAGCTAATTGGTTTAGGCACTTGGTGGCAGTAAAGACTAAGTGCACTATTGTGCATATTAAAATATTTAAGGAATACTGTAGATTACCTTGGCCCAATGTTGGCATAATTATATATCATCAGGTATGTCTTTATTCAGTTTCATGATCAAATGATTAAAGATATATTCCATTCTTGTTTAGTTATCATTTTATAATAGTATTAAAATCATTAGATTTGTTGATTGGATTTAGATTAATTAGTGTGAGTTTGTTTTCTTAACTATAAAACGGAGACACTATAAGCTTCAAAGCAATATTGGCTTGGTTTATTATTCTAGATTAATTTTAGAATAATTTCCTAGGGATTCTCAAAGTTAAACTGAAGTTTTTATTTGAGTTAAACTAAATGTTTATGTGAAACATCTTAAGAAGTTTGTCAGTAGACTTTGTAGCTGAGTCCATGGACTACTTATATTAAATCAGAAACTATTTTATATCTCTGAATGAAGTGTATTTCTCTTTCTTTAGGCTTAGTATGTTTCTTATTAGTATTCTATATTAGATATTTTATATTCATATTGTTAGATTTAATGGAATATTTTTCTTTTATATCCTCTGATCATTCACTACATATATGAAGTTTGCTGAATTTTATAATTATACTACATTTGCAATGATATGGCCTTTTTACAGTTCCTGTTCCCTTTTCACCTCATACACATCATCTGTGTGTATCATCTATCAATGAAATCACAATATCTGCAATTAATGATAATTTTATCTACTTCATTCCAATACTTAATGTTTATTCACCTTAATTTTTCTACATATTTGTACTCTAGCTTTCTCAATGATGTGATTTTTCACTTATGCTATTCTTTCATGAGACTGAGTCATTGAAGTGCAAGGATATTCAATTTATATTTGTGGTCTGGTAACTAACATAATGCCTGACACATGAGTAAACAATTGTTGAGTGAATGCCTGAGTGAATAATGTTGAACTTCAGGTTCAAAACTGGTCTGTGTAATTCCTTGAATGTTCAATGAAAAACAAAAACAAAATAGAGAAACAGACATGAGTCAAATGGCATGGATGTGGGGTCTGCTAGAAACCCAAGAGGCTCATGTGGCAGGAAGCCAAATAGATATTTTTGCTTCCTAGTCAGGATAGATACAGGGGATGCCTCACTGATACATCAATTAAATGGAGAGTGAGTTAAGTTACCCACCTGTCTTTCATTCTTTGCATATAAGCAGCAAGTCTGTATTTAATCTCCACTGGCTGGCCAGTGAAGGAAGAACACCTTTTATTATTGATCTGGGACAAACAGAGACAGTCAGCAGTTAACTAGATGTGGGACTGGGATTCTGACAAATGGGATCATACTAAAGTCAGATTTAATCAATATCTCATAAAAATATTAAACCTGGAATTTGATTAAGATAGAATGTTTTATAATAAATAAGTAGAGTATGAAATAACATAATGAATTCACAAACTCGTTGAAACTAACATTTGCCACTGATTGCAGCAATTATTAAAATATCCACAGAAATAGTTAATGTTTATTAAGGATTTATTAGGTGTCAAGCATGTGATTAGTGCTTTATAGAGACTATCTCACTCAACCCTCATAGCAACCTGTGAATGAATCAGATATGATTTTGGTTGTATTTTACAGATGGGAAATATGATTTAGAAAGTTTGTTAAATAGCTTGGCCAAATTCATATACCAGTGTGTTTTGGTGATGAATTGCTAGCAAAAGCCAGGATTTTAATCCTGGTTTTTATTTCTCCTGGAGAGCTTTATGATACATACCAATGTCAGAGCCTCACATTCAGAAATTATTACCTAATTGGTCTGGGATGGGACCCAGTGGTATTGGTTATTTTTTAAGACCCTTTTGGTGATTTCAATGTGTGGTTGGAGTTGAGAACCACTGACCTATCACATCATAGTACTGAGAGCTTAGCTTTGCCCTCCAGTTGTTCCTTGTCAATGCAAATAAATGGTAATGGTTATGTAGCTTGAAAGAACAGTTTTAAGATTTGTTTTACTTCTTCTACCCTCTATGCATTGTCCTTAGTTAGGTATCTCACAATGACTTCACTGATCCTGCCTATCCATTTATTGGCTCTTGTCTCCTGGAATGTGTCAGTCTACAGGCTGGGTGATAAAAGGGGTCTTATGTTTTGCCTCTGCCAGTTCAGCTGTATTTAGCTAGGATTGCTGTTAGCAGGCCACTTGTTACTCTTATTGTAAATCTTTTAAATGGTTGTTTGGTTATTATTATGTTTTCCTATATTATTCTTAGCTACATCAAGTAGGCCATATATAGTTGATAAGGTTTTATTAAATGCCTTATTGTATTAGTTTCATATAATGATTGGTTTAATAGTACTTATAAGAAAATGCTGTAGATAATAAGTTTATGGTCCTAGATGTTTCCATGTAGTCAAAAAATCATGTACGACTGGATTCTGATCCACCTTGCTGTGTTTTCTAACATGATAATTTACCCTCTTTCCATTTCCAACCTAAGCAATGAATTATTATTATTAAATGAAGTATCAGTGCAACAATAGAAAGATGGAATAAACATACAGCTCATGAAAAGTGAAATACAAAACAGTTTAACCAAATTAATTTAAGAAAGGCCAATGAAATACAGCTTTATGTATGAATGAACAACTTTTCCCATAGACTTTTAACCTTATAATTTATAATGTTACTATTTTTATTGTCCTCATGATAGAAGGCAAGCTCCACAAGGAAGGGAATTTTATTTGCTTCATTCAGTGATACATTGTAAGAGCTGAAACCAGTGCCTGTCATGAAACAGGCACTCAATAATAAATATTAGTCAAAAGAAATGTTACTAAATAAACTATATTAAATATGAGTAAGTGTGTGCATATGTGTGTGCATACCATAAACAAAAGTGTGGTGAATTGCAAACAGTACTATTGGCAGGGGTATAAATCCCTATAGCATTTCTGAAGAGCAATCTGTTAAGAGATATTGTGTTTTTGTTAAATATTTATTTTGAATTATTATTTATACTTCTAGAATTGTGCTTTAAGGATATAATCAGTGAAGTGTAGATTTATAGACAGAAAACTGTGTTTATAGCATTGATAATCATAGTGGAGCAAAAATACCTGAATGTTAAATAAAACATGCACTTTTCGGTCTTTCAAAACTGACCAAATAATATGAAAATTCAATGATATAATGTTAAATGAAAATAGAGGGTCGATAATAGAGCATGGTCCCAATTTTGTTAAAACTGAAAAGAACAGATAAATTATTAAACCAAAATCTTAATAGTAATTATATCTGGATGTTGAGAATAAGATTGCTTTTAATTTTTTAAAATATTTTAGTCTTATAAAATTCATGAAAATTCTATATGATCATATATTATTTTATTAACCAGAAAAGAACTTCATTTATGAAAATTGGCTTTGTCATTTTCCAGCTCTTGAGGATATAGTAAAGAATCTATTGCAATATAACTTTCATACAGGCAAGACTTTTTATCTGCTTTGTTCATTGGTGGATTTTTCATGCCTAAAATAATATTTGGGATAAAGTAGCCTTTATAAGTATTTTCTAAATAAATTAATGAGTGCACAAACAAATGATATGCCTCCTTCTCTAAAGGCAGTTTCAAAGGGAAAAGTTTAAGGGGATTGATTACTTCCTTTTCTTGCAGAGGGGAGCAATTAATCTATCCATTATGAAGTGTTGATTAAATACCTGTTCATAACATACCTGCCTTCCGCTGAGGAGAGACTTCTTTCTCATGGACTGAAAATAATCTTTGATCTGTAGTTAGAGTTTGCTTGGTGGGGAGGAAGGTGACCAGCACATGACAGTTATGGATTTTAGTGTATGTGAGCTTTAAAATGATTCTGACTGTAATCTTTGACCTTAAGTACTTTTAAATTAGCACTGTGTCCTCAGATTTAAAGAAGAAAACCAAAAGTAATCAATTAGCAAATGCTTTTATTTTGTGATCCAATGACCATATTTTTAGTTCACCATTTGGAGAGGACAAAAGGATACAAGATTAGTCACAGATTTTGCTGGCGTACTGCTGGGGATGGAAACACCGAGAAAGGATAATTGACGAATAGTATGAGACAGTGCTATATTGTGCTTCATTGTCATTCAGTAGGGGACGTTTTCAAATTTTTACCATGTACCATGCAGTTTAGACTTCTGCAACGAAATGTGCCTTATTTAACATTTTATCTTTTTGCATATTTTCTCAAAATGAAAATAGGAAATAAAGGACCTAAGGAAAGTCCTGAAGAAATGTAATAGTAAGGTTCATGTTGTAATTTAATTTTAAATAAAACAGTTAATGTGTACAGTGATTTGGTTATTTTATATAGATGTCCTGCTTTATTTTTTCTCTAGGATTCAGAATTTCCCACAGATATACAACCAAATCCAAATCTTTGTTTATGTAAAGAAAATATTGGTCCAGCAAAATTTGACTACAAGCTGAATAACATATTTCGACTTCATGAACTTCCAGTGAGCTGGTAGGATTCTTGATGTTTTATTAACTCCTTTAAGATTTTATTGTCATGTCTAAATTGTGGTGCTCTTACAGCTTTTCGTGGTCAAAGCAGTCTGCTTTTAGCTTGTTTCCAAATTGCTGCTCATAACAGTGAAAGAACCTGCTTATTACTGCAAGAATCTTAAAGCTAATTGGTTTAGGCACTTGGTGGCAGTAAAGACTAAGTGCACTATTGTGCATATTAATTGTAAAGGTTGCAGCTTAAAATAAGGCACAAAGCGTTTTTAGAGAGGTATATAGAATATATTTTAAAGATCTCAGCAACTATGAATTTCATTTGATTATTTTACTTACAATTTTACCAGTGCATGTTTTCCTTTTCCTCATTAACAAATCATTTGTTTTGTTTGTTTTGAGGACCATATTTTTTGTGAACCATAATCACATCAATTTAAGGATCAAACTTATTATTTGGTATTCATTGAAGTGCATAATTTCATGACTGCATATTTATATTCATAGGAGACTTGCTTTATATTTTGTAAAATTTATGCTGTTCAGAGATTTTGAGAAGGATATTTTTTTGTGGGGAATCTGTAAATTTGCATTTATCATTTAGTTCTGTGGTACATTTTAGTAAGTGGTCATCTAGATAATCATGGATATATTACTTTGATTATGGCTAGGTAAGTGATATTATTTTCTTGCATTTATTCATATAATCCCAAGTTTATGTCATCAATCTTCGAGAAATCTAAGGCTTGTACAAAAATGTATGACAAACATTTTGTAATTGCTCCTGTTATTTTTAATGAGGATAAATGTCTCAGAATAGGATGTTAACCAACTCTGATAACTTATATACATTTACCTGTGTTGATCGTTTTTTTATTTGCAAAATTTCCTCTTCTCTAGATGACTTCATGTGTAATTTACTTTCTAAGCCCTTTTTATTTCCATACATCAATAATACTGTCTATGGTATCTTACTTAAGAGCACAGCAGATACCGATCTTATGTGCTATTTCCAAAACCAATAGGATAATGAATGAATTGAAATGGTCTGTTAGTAAAGGAAACCATAAAAATGATATACATTCATACCTTAAGTATTCTATTTCAACTTAAAGCAGTGCATTTGCATTCACATGCCAGTCTTTTGATGTAGGCCATGGCTTTTTCTTTGATTAAGTGATTGTTGATTGGAACTCTACACCATATTTCTTGCATAAGCTATACCAGTAACACATCATTTACAATTTCAATTTTGTGATTTCCTTAATCTGAAATAAGAACATCAGACATTCAGACGATGGTCACCTCACCTTTCCATAGCATGAATTTAATTTTCTTTGACAGCAATTTTCCTTGTCATACTCATATTTCATCACCTTGATTAATCTTTAATTACATTACAATAGCACACACAATTGACTATAAGAAGATTTAGTAACAAACTCCTTTGACTCTTTGTAATTATGGGCCTTAGCTGGTGGGATTATCCTGTTGCTGGTCTTCTTGGGCATAGTCTTGTTGCAGGAACCGCGAGATCTATGAACAAGGAGTTGGACACCGAGACGTTTAGTGAGAAGCAGCATTTATTAGTGCTGGCACTGGCTCAGCATATTCCTGTCCAAAGGCTGAGCCCGAGTGCAGCAGGGCTGTGCCTTTTATACATTCACTACAAGATTGGTGGGGGAGTCAGCATCCAGGAACCATTACAGTGGGATCTATTAGGTCACTGTAGGTGTATTCAGTGTGCTAGTTATATTTTAATCTATCTGTGTAAGGGTTACCTGGATACCGTATTAGTTATAAGAATTAAGTTCTTCTATGTTGTATAGGTTACTTAATTTCATCAAGGTAACAGTAATAGTAATGAAAGAATATCAGTGACAGCAACAAAGTGTTTTACTAAGCATCTATAAATGCCAGGATTCAGCTGCTTTATTGTGCTAATGGGCTTCCATGACTGATCAACAAGCTTTTCCATACCACTGAGTCCTGGTGGGGGGAATACATTGTTACACTGTTTCAATTTCAAGCACCCAAGCACCTTGTGATTCCTGAAGCCTCAACAGAAACTTTGTCTCCTTGGCTTCCTACCACAGTCTGAGAGCTCTGAGTGGTAGGAGTGCAGTGAGCACAGCTAGTGTGTTTTACAAAGAGAATGGGCAAGGTTCATCAACCCAACAATTAAGTGAAGGTTAAAGGGAAAAGCTTCTATTAAGTGCAAATGTGAAGAGAAAAACAGAGAAACATTTACTTCTTAGTCAAAGACAAAATCTGAATTTCAGCTCAATTTATTTCCAGCCTTTGGAAAGACAGCTGCCCTGATTAACTACTAATACAACCCAGGGAATAATCTCTCTGTCACAATCTTTACTAGTTAGCCCATTAGGAGAGAAGACTCTAGTATTATGAGTTAAGCAGTAAAAAATGAATAATTACTAATTTCCTAGAGACTGAGGTATGAATCACTAATCATACCTGGAAGGAAGATTAAACTGTGATTTTGTGACAACTCATTCACCTGGGCCTTTTTTTTTTTTTTTGTCTGTCTTCTTCATTTCTAATTTGTCTCAGTTTCTTCTGCCTTATGCTACCATTTTTTCTTTGCCCTCTCCCACATATTTTATTGTACTTCTTGCTGTGTGCTCTCATTCTATGGTACCAACCCTTAACTAGCCATAATATATAATTCAATTGTAAATGTTAAGTGTTCTTCAAATTACTCTATATTCTCTATTCTTAATTTTAAAACCAAATCACTCACTACCCATACCCTGCATATATACAGAGAGGTTTGGTGCTTTCTAAGTCTTTAATATAATGTTTATTGACTTAATTACATGTTTATTTAAATAATTTTTTTAAAGGTATTTGTTTTGTTAGTAACTGAATTTACTTATTGTTTTTGTCAATTACCATTAGTAGGAATTAAGTTCTATGGTATATAGGCTACTTAATTTCGTCAGGGTAACAGTAATAGTAATGAAAGAATATCAATGATAGCAACAAAGTGTTTTACTAAGCATCTATAAATGCCAGGATTCAGCTGCTTTATCCATGCTCTCTTTGACTTTTATATTTCTATAAGACAGTTATTATTTTCCTCATTTGTCTCCCTGCTCCCTGCCTTCCTCCTTCTCTCTCTCCAACTCCCTTTTCCTTCTTCCGTCTCTCTCTCTCTCTGTCTATCACACACAGACACACAGACTACACAGACACAGACACACACACACACAAGTGAGACTCAGAGACCTTGAGAATCATAGAGAAAAATAATTTATATCAGGCCTTGTTAACTCAAAAACAAACTACAAAATAGTGAATAAATCATACATTTTGAAGAAAAATACCAAGGAAATAGTCTCTACTTTTACAATCAAACAGACAAATTTGCTGGTAACGTAAACTACATAACTTATAAGTTTGACCAGGATCTTTTTATCCCCTGGTGAGCATGATCTAGAATAATTGTTTTAAACATAAATATTAAAATAACAATTGGATTATGTTTAAGTGTAGAATTTGTTAATTACATGTCCTTTCCCTGAAAAAACTGATTTATTAAAATTATTTTTATTATGTTTTTCTAACAAGGTCATAATAAAATAAATGGATATTAAATTCCAGATAATTTAAAAATTCTTAATGAATTACTAATTTGCATTTTTATAGAGTTCAATTTCATAGTTTGAAGAACCAGAAGGAAAATAAATCAGATCATTATGAGAGTTTATAAGTTCTGATTTAGGTAGTATCTTTCTCCTACTTTTATAGGATGGTTCCCATTCAGTCTAGAAAATGTCTTCCATTAACTCCTGTACGTTAATTTTTTTTGTTACTAGACAACCCTCTACTAACCTATGCTGTTTTCTTAGAAGCTGCTCTGCTCATTTTCAATGAAATTTTGGCACAAGTTCTGGCTGAACTCATAGCCGCCTCTTGCTCTCCCTGACCTTCCCTCTAGTGGAGTTCCCTTCCTTTCCTCTGCTCTGAAACTACTCTTGTCAGTCCTTGTTTCTTTCTGTTGCCACCACCAGTGGTCACTTATCTGTTCTCATTTTCTTCTGCAGTCAATACAGCTGACCACCCGTGATTGTCCTCTCTTGATCCCGTCATTTGTATGGTCTTGGTTTTCCTGCTGACCCTCCTGCTTTCCTGCTCAGTGTTCTGAACTTAGCCTCACAGCTTTATCTTTCACTATCTACAATTCTTAGCCTCACAGCTTTATCTTTCACTATCTACAATTTCTCAGGTGGCTTCTCCCATTTTCAGACTTTAAATACTCTTCATATTTTGATAATTCTCATGGTGGTATCTCTACCATTGACATCTCCTCCAAGCTTGAATATCTAATAGGCTTCTCCAATTTTTCATGTCCAAAAAGACTCTTTTTTTTCCACTTAAAAACTTGATCTTCTAACCTTTCTCATTTTTGCAAAAGCAAAATGTGAACTTTTTCAAGCTAAAAGCCTAGGAGTCATTTCATTCCTCATTATCTTATTCTGCCATTAAACCAATCAGTAAGTCTGATAGGCTTTCCCTCCAGAATATAATTTCATTTTTTCCGGCTCTCACACTATTGCAAAAGCTTACCTTACCTTACAATAATTCACTCATTTCCCAACAGCTGAACACATCTTTCAAAAATGCAAGTCAGATCATAAGATTCCCTACTTGAAATACAATAATGTCTTACCCTTGCTTTTGAATCTCCTGTCTACTTCTTTGGCCACATGCTCTCCCTGGTTCTGCCCAGAGCCTTTAGCTACCCCAAGCTTCTCACTGTTCTGCTACTATACCACATTTATCCCAACCCCCAGGTCTTTACTCTAGCACTTCTCTCTACTTTAGTTGTTACTTCTCCAACTTTTGCATGTGTGGCTTTCTTATCTCCAGTGTCTCAGCTCAATGTCACCTCCTCAGAGAGGCAGTTTCTGAAAAATGCAACTAATATTTTCCTCCTACTCTTCCAGTCACTTACAGTCTCATCATTCTACTTTATTTCCATCA